CACACACACACACACACACACACACATTCATACAGAGGAAAATATCACATGCTTTTCCAAACACATTTTGGAAAATACCAAAAAGCAAAAACAGAATAACTAATGCTCCTAATCCTGGCATTAGAAAGATCCTTTGACAGGTCATTTGGTATCTCTCCTTCCAATCTTTCCTTAGGATTCGCTCTTTCACAGAGTTTAGACCAGGCTGTCATAGAGATGCACTGCTACCTTTTTCACCCACTCTTAGTCCCAGTTATGTCCTCAGTGGACTGGGCATGTGTAAAGAATCTATTTTAATATTGTAAGCTGCTGCTGCGTAGATCTACCATCATTTACTCAGCCATTCTTCAATGACTTTCAGTGTATTGCCAACTCTTTGCGGGGAAGAAACTAATGAAAACCGAATAACAGGAAGTAGGTGTGTAGCTCAGGGGCAGAGCACGCCCTTTGCATGTGCAGGGCCCTGCATTCAACCCCCAGCACCAAAAGAAAAAAAGGAGCCAACAAGTGATATTTTCCTTTATCCCTGCAGGAAGCCAGCTATTCCATGAGTAGAAAGGGGTGGCACTGGCCTTTCTACTCACTGTGGAAATATATGCTTTTTTTTTTTGCGGAACCAGGGATTGAACTCAGGCCCTTGCGCTTGCCAGGGAAGCACTTATTCTACTGAGCCATCTCCCCTGCCCCAATGCTTTCTTCTTTGTCCAGTGGTAGCTGTAAAGAACACCAAAGGGCTGGGAAACACAGTTACAATTGTCCAGAAGCTAAGGTGGCCTGAGTGAGGGCAGTGGTAATAGGCCTGGAAAGGACCCGGGATGGCTGGGTTGCGTACCCCAGGTTGGGGACTATGTGTTTATCTTCACCTTGGAAAGCTTGGGCTTTCCTCCCAAGAAGGAACAACCAACGCGGGCTCCCAGTGCCACCTGCTGACCTGACCTGCCACCACGCCAGGTGACTTTCTGTGTTTGAGCCTGTCCGGCAAGCCATCCCTAAAAATACCCTCCACCTGCCTTTGCCCTCGCCAGCCTGGGGCCTCTGTAAGTTGAGACCCATGAATGCCCTTGAAGAGCGGGACTAAGACCCTGAATTTGGGCACAGTTGGCCTGATGGCTCTGGAAGGAGCCATATCAGAAGATGCTGGTTTGTAAGTGTTATAGATGTGATGATATTTGCGACAAGGACTTTACCCTGGAAGGATTAGTGAGGGAGAGAGAGAAGCGGGAGGGCAAAAGTAAATGATGCCACTGCAATTCACAAGCCTGGTCCCCACCTGAAAGACTTCAGACCTAGGCTAGAAGGAAAGTTTTCTATAGGGTTTTGCTACTGTAGGATATTCATTTCTGCTACTTTTTTAAAAACTTATATTCATCAGCCCTTGTGCTAAGTAGTGGGGTTACAATAGGAAAAAAAAAAACAGTATTTTTTTCTTTTTTCAGTACAGGAGTTTGAATCCAGGGCTTCAGTAGACAGGTATTGTACCACTGAGCCACATGATGAGCCTGGGACCAAAGTCTTTGCCACCATGGAACTTCTGTTCTACTGCAAGAAGACAAACAGAGCAGGCAGATTATGTGGTATAACAGCAATGAAATGTTATTGGGGAAACAGAGCAGGGCATATGGAGCGCAGGTGAGGGGGTTGGTAAAAAGGGCTTGCGGCTGAATGTCTGACTTGTTCTAGGAGCAGCAAGGGTGTAGGTGCAGAGGTAGAGAAGGGTGGGACATAAGGTCACATTTGCCAGGCAGGAGGAATGTCAGATCCAGGCTTTGTGTAGCCTTATAAGGACTTTGGCTTTTAATTAGACTAAAATGAAGAGTAGTTGGAAGTCTTTGAGCAAAGTGTTGTTTTGTCCTCGAGTCATTGCTCAGTGTAGGGGACTGAACCCAGGACTTTGAGCTCAAACTTTGATTTAGATTTTAAAAGAATTTTTTTTTTTTTTTCAGAACAAGGGATTGAACTCAGGCCCTTGTACTTGCCAGGCAAGTGGTCGTTCTGCTGAGCCATCCCCCCAGCCCCTGAAAGCATTCTTGTGTTTCTCTCATTAGTTTAGAACAGACCAGAAAGCGAGATCAGAAAAAATAGAGAGCTGCGTTGGGTGAACCTTGAAATAATCCTGGGCAGTGGGTGGTGGCAGTAGGGGTGGGTGGAAGAGGTTACAGTCTAGAGGGTGTGCAGGTTGGGCCAATCAGATTTCCAGGATGACTGCAGGAGTCATGGCGGGGTGGGGGGTGGGGGAGACAGGGGCTGGAGTTGTCCACAGCTGATGGAGAAAAACTGCCCCAGAGCAGATTTGCTTGTATGTTGAGAGAAAGGCGGGCTTGGACCACCATCAGGTGTTAGTGGACAGCTTGGGAGCCCAAGCTCAGAAATAAACTTGTGGATCTTGCGCACATCAACTCAGAACCTGATAATATTTTATGCTCGTCTGTTAACTGGGTGAGATGTGGGCAGGCAAGCGGAAATGGACCAGGCGGCTGTAATGGTACCTGCAGCATCCGGCTAGTTAAGTCCCAGAGGGAGGCGCTAAGTGTGGTGGGAAGAAAAGGGCCTCTTGCACTTTCCAGTTTCACCTTGGTACTGGATTCGTCCATCCACACGCATTCTTCACGCAACAATTAATTGCTACGTTTTGCACCTTCAAAACAGACTTCTAGGGAGAGTGAGGCAGTAACCAGCCACCAGGTGTCAGGGACAGAGTGTACCTCGGGGTTCTATCTTGGAGCCCCAGGAAGCTCTGTGATGGGCGGGGCATCCGGGGTTTCTGAAAAGAAGGTTTGTGAGCTTCAGGTGACTGGTGAGGCCCACTCCCCTGAGCAGCACGCAGTAATTCGCGGCGCGGCCCCTTTAAGGCCGGGAGGGTGACCTCAGCCGGGCGCTCGCTGCCCCGCCCTTGCCGACGGCGACCCCCATTGCGCCTGCGCGGGCGCTCTCCGCTGGGCTTCGACGCGCTGGCGGCCGCCAGACCTGGGCTGTGGCGTCGCCCGCCCGCCCCGCCCGCAGAGCTGCTCTCAGCGCGTCGCCCGTTCGCGCCTCCGCCATGGGCTCCTGAGGTATCCGCTCCGGCAGCCTCCCTCCGGGAACCGGGAGGAAGCGGCCGAGGACTCTGCGGGGCGGGGGGCTGCGCGGTGTGCAAAGGCCCGCGAAGGGGACGCCGCGGACGCGGGGACGAGACGGCCCGCCTGGCCACAGAGGGAGGAGGCGTCCGTGGCCTCGCCGACCCGGTCTGTATCCGCTCCCCGCCCTGTGGGGTCTCGGGGCGGCCAGTGGGTGTGCCCGCTCCCCCTTCACGCCAACGTGGCGGGACCGCTCCGGGAGTGTAATCGGACCTGCCGGTGGGGGTGGCTGGGGATCGGGCGGAGGACGGATTGGCCCCTGCGCGTCGGGCTGTGTAGACGGGAGGGTGTGGGCTGGGTGAGAGGAGGAGATATCGGGACCCTGCGCGACCCTGCGCAGCGGCGGCCTGGGCCGCTGTGTGTGGAGGGGACGGACAGGAGCCTGGGGTGCGAGGATATTTGCCTCCGAGGGACCGCAGAGGCTGGTTTGGATGCGTGTGTCCTGTGGCTTGGTCGCGCGTTTCTTCCCTAGGCACGCCCTTGAGCTCCTTAGTTGCTTTACTTGCATCTGTGGTCGGTGGCTCCAGGCCATACCCAGGCACTCCCCAGGCTAGAGAGTGGACACGGATTCCCAGGTCACATCCTCCTTGGGGCTTGTCCGAGGACCCACGCTCTGCTCTAGGACATCTGCTCTAGGGCAAAGTGGGTGTTTGCTTGCTTGATACCTGCACTCGAGGTGAAGGCCATGTATTATTCATCTGAGTGCCGGGTGTTTTATGTAAGGCAAGAAGTAGCAATCTGTGCCCTGGAGGCCAGTGTGCTGCTGTTAGCCTGGGGTGCCAGCTCACCTGGACCTGCAGAAGCCAAAGTCTCAAAGATGAGACTCCCTTGGTGGGTTGTGTTTGCAGTGCCCCTTCCCCTGCTCCTTGTCCACGTGCAGTGTGTGCCCTTGGGCTCTAGTCCCGAGCAGTTTGTAGAGCTGTGGGTGTCAGGGTTGAGACTAGGGGGTGGAAGAGCACTAGCAGCCAGACCTGTGTGCCAGGTTGGACCCAAACACACAACGGGTGTCCCAGGCATCTGGTGGCTCTCAGGTGGGTGGAGGAATCAACTTGGAACCCGTGATGTGAAAAACACAAAACAAAGGAACAAGAGTGTAGAGGTGGGTTCATTGCTGGGCAAGGGGGAGCAGGGCCAGTGAAAAAGCCTTTCGCACAAAGGGACAATTGAGCCGAAGCTGGAAGCTGGAAGGGCTGGAAGGGCGGCTGACATTCTTGTGAGGCTTTTGTGCCTTTCTCCAATGCTTTCCCAGTTTATTCTTAAAGCAGCTGTGTGAGAACTGTTTGCTGTTACCCTGAATGTGGATGAGGGAAACTGAGGCTTTGAGGAAATTCATGCTTCTCTGACCATGATATAGGCAGGCCAAGGTGGGATCATCCTTGAGTCAGGGCCACTCGCTTGCTGCCATATATTGTTGCTTGTAACTTACTGAGCATCTACTATGTGCCAAGTAGTATGGTAGGGTACAGAGGTCTGAAGATGAATGGGACCTGAGCCTGCCTTCTGGGGGCTCTCCAGTCCAGACTAGAATCCTGAGTGGCTGGTGTAAGTCAGGTTTGTTTGTTTGTTTGTTTGGGTTTTTTGGTAAAAACAAAACAAAACACCCATAGGCAATCTGGGGTGCTTTTGTTTCTTTTAGACAGGGTTTTACTGTGTAGCCCAGACTGGTCTTGAGCTCAAGGTGATCCTCCTGTCTCAACCTCTTGAGTGCTGGGGTTACAGGTGTGCACTGCTAGGCTGACTAGGGGGCTTTTGGAAGTTGCCCTCGTGCAAGGAGACTGTTCTAAATCCCTCTCCCAGGTAGGAAGAACAGCTTCCCCACAGGACTATAGAGAACACCTGCTTGTCCTGGGTCACTGGAGCTCTTGTTCTGTGGACTCCAGCTCCTGTCTGGAAGCTGTGTCCTCCCACTTACTCTGTCTTTGAGGTTGTGCACCGGGCTGCTGGCTGGCCTGCCCAGCCCTGTCCCTGAGAGGGGCCCAGTGCTATTTCCAGTCCCTGCTGTGCTCATTTCTCTCTGTACATTCCCTGGAGTAGAAACGGCCTCTGTAAGGCAGAGTACAGCCTTTATTGTTTTGAAAACGAGTAGCAGCCAGACCGAGACTTGGGATTTGGAGGGTGAGTTCTGGGAGCCTGCAGCTGGGCCCTGGGAGCTTGGGTAGGTTCTGTGCGGGGAACTCAGCCGAGGCCTCGAGGCGGGCAGTGCTTGCGGGACACCTGCATACTTTGCCTTTGCTGGGCCTCAGGAAGAGAGGCCAGAGCAGTGGGTCAGTCTCTTGAAACAGCTTAGATTGGTTGAGGCAGCCAGTGTGTAACAAATATGCAAGATATTGTGCTACTTGTGTTAGAGACAGAGGGCCTTAAAGGGGCCCAGAGGACAATAGAGACAACTCATTTATTGAGCGCTTACTGTGTGCTTCAGAGTGCTCTTTTTTGTTACTTTTTTCATTTTGTTTTATTTTGGAGCTCTTGATATTAGTTGAGGCTGGCCTTGAACTTGCAGTGACCCTCCTGCCTCAGCCTCCTAAGTTCCAGGCATACAGGTATGTGCCATGTCTGGCCTCAAAGTGCTTTCATGAATTACTGTTTCGTCTTCCCACCACCTGAAGGTGGGGCCATCACCTCAAGCATCTTCTTCCACTGACCTGGGGGAAGCCGAATGTTTTCTTGGGCCTGACAATGGGGGGTGCTGGACCCATGGAAGAAAAGAAGGAACCCAGGTGAAATTTCTGCCGAACCTTGCGGCTCGGATGTGGCAGTGGTGTCTGGGTCATAGAGACCTCTGATGGTCCCACTGGAGAGTTTGAACTTTGATCTAGTGTGGTGCACAGGGAGCCCATGAAAGTTCCCAGAAGGAAGCAGCAGGCTCAGCCGTGTGTTATGAAGCAGTGTCATTCTGTGTCTCTCTTCCTTCATTTCTGTCATAACCCCAAGAAAATCCACCTCCTTCCTGTTTGTTTTCCCTCTTGTGTCAGGTGTTCTTTTAGTCTCTGCTGCCTTTGTTTTCTCTTCTTCCAGCAGCTTTTGGTCTGAAGTCCATGAGCCCCGCCCCCGGCCAGGCCTCTGGAGCCACCATTGTCATGGTGTCTGCTTCACACTTGGTATCTTCTGTCTACCCTGAGTTGGCTCCACGGAGCAGCAGATTGTTTTTTTAGGCCTGAAGCTTTCCCGGATCTCCCAGGTCCTGCAGGTCCCACTGACATCTTATACCACAGACCCAACACAAAGCCCGAGGCCTTTGGGTGCTGTGGTATACCACAGACCCAACACAAAGCCCGAGGCCTTTGGGTGCTGTGGTCTGTCATCCCTGCCCCCAGCCATCATCCCTCCCCATGATGCTGCCGAGGGGAGGGAGAAGAGCTGGGATTGGAGGCAGGAGAGTTGGGTCTAGCTGCTGGGTCTCACCTGTGAGCTGGCTGAAGGTCCTACCCTGCAAGGGTGCAGCGACACACCAGTCCCACCAGAGCATGACTTAGACCCTCATCTCCTGCAGGGCTGCAGGCTATTGGGTAGGACAGATACCCCTAGGGGCTTAGAGTAAGCAATGCTGAGGTGCAGCAGAGGGAGTGGGCATGGGAGCTGAGGGGCAGAGGATGGGAGGCTGAAAGTTGGAGTTGGGTGCCTTGAGGTAGGGGCTGGAGAATTCAGGAAGGGTCCAAATGGTCACTGGGGGCCTTGCTTGGGAGGAGAGGAGATAATAGCCAAGCCTTCTGCTGACCTGGAGAGAGAATTAGGAGATGCAATTCCAATCCTTGCTTTTATTAGCTCTGTATCCTTGGGCAAGTTACTTACCAGGTTCTGATTTTTTTTTTTTTTTTTTTTTTTTTTTCTGGAACCAGGGATTGAACTCAGGCTCTTGCGCTTGCCAGGGAAGCGCTTATTCCACTGAGCCATCTCCCCGGCCCCCCAGGTTCTGATTCTTGTCTTTTAAAACAGAGTGGGAATGATGCAGTTTCCTTTAAAGCAAGTGTATTGATGTAATTGTCTGTGATCCCTGTTGTATGGAGCTACTTTTGCACAGTACTTGGCACATGGGACAGCCTCAGCACACCACTTTGTGCTGTGAGCTTATGGGCCATGTACTTTACTTAGGAGGGTCACGTAGTCCTATGAGCCTATAGCGTGTGGGGAGCTGAGTCCAGCTGGGGAGAGAGACATCGAACACAGCACAATTATGGGTGTCATGGTACTTTTGTTGAGGGAACATTAGGTCATTCTCAACTAGGCAGATACCTTTTTGGTAAGGTGATAGTTAAATTGTCACCATGTAAGCCACTTATCATCCTGGCACTCTGGGAGGCTAAGGCAGAAGGTTTATAGGTTTGGGACCAGCCTGGGCAATTTAGTGACCTATTGACGCTCTCTGTAAAAATAATAAGGAATCAAAATATATCATGATTGGGTACAACTTCCGTATGATGAATATGATCTAGTTATATACGTACAGTGTACCAAAAAACTTATTTCAAGATTAAAAAAATAAAAGAGCTGGGGATATAGCTCTCAGTACAAAAGCTCTGGGCCCAGGCTACAGTGTGTAGGTGTCACCATGTAGAAAGGAACAGACAGGCTCCAGATAGCGGGATCACCATGTGCAGAGACCCAAGTTCACATCTGCAAAATTGTGTGTCTTGCACCCGGCACCAAGCAGGGCCAACGTAAATCTTCATTATGTGATCTCAGACTCAGAGAGGCCAGAAAAGGCAGAAAGAAAATAGAAGGGGCCGTGGTTGGAATTGGATGGGCCCTCGAGTTTGAGATTTTTGCACCCTTTCTATCTTTTCCACCTCTACCATACAGGTGCAGTCTAGGCACGGGGTGACAGGCACGCTCCTTCCCACTCTGCTTCTCCAAAGGGCTGGGGAGGAGAAAGCCACACTGAGAGGAAGCCGAGGGGCTGGAGTGGGCAGTGTCTCTTCCCATACCTGTCCTCAGTGTGCCGACCTGGCCAAAGCCATGCTTGGGGAGAACATAGAGTGGCTTGTGCCTTCCAGGGGTGACTTTTCTAGTCTTCAGTTACGAGTGGCTCAGTGTCTGCCTTGAAGCCTGGTGCAGAGTAGGCGCCGAAATAGCTTTCAGCTGAACAAATGAACGGTTAGATGGGTTAATGG